GAAGTTTTGTGGAGTCTGGCAAAGTCTTGTGAAGTTTTATGAAGTCTCAAGAAGTCCAACAAAGTCTGTGAAGTCTCACAAAATCCGTGAAGTCTCATGAAGTCCGCGAAGTCTCACGAAGCCTGTGAAGTCTCACGAAGTCTTTTGAAGTCCTCTGGAGTCCCATGAAATCCTATGAAGTCTTGTGAAGTCCTTTGAAGTCCTATGAAGTCTTTAGAAGTCTTTTGAAGTCTTTTGAAAATATGAAGTCACTATGGTTGAGTCCGTTGAAGTCTTGAAGTCCGCTGTTTCCCCTTGATGTCGAGTGGATTACGTCTTCAATTAATCTATTCTATGTGTTTTAGGATTTTTATAACAGATTGATGGATCTTATTCAAATTCAAATGTCCTACAAATACAGATGTGTTTTTGAGGGTGTGGCTGGTGGCTGAGTGTGGGTGTAAGAGCCGATCATAAGACTGACCCACACCCCAAACCCACGTTCCCTCGTGAAACAACAACTGAAACTTATCTGTAGACCCGTTCAGATATCTTTTTCCTACTTGACACTAGGTAAAATCGTTTTAATGATTTCAACAGTAATACTTAACATTAGACTTTGCTTACATTATCGATCAGAAAAGGAAATTTTAAATAAACTTTTACCACTAACCAAAAAATCAACAACTTTAATTGAACTGAAGCAAAGATATCGCAATTTTCTCTCACCCTATAATCTATTGATGGGTAACTCTATATGATATTTCTTTAAAGATTTCCACTCAAAACATGCCATCTATGTTATTATATTACTAATTCAACCGTTCTCATCTATAGTGTTTGAACTTTAACAAATCTTTGTTATAATACGAAATTAAAAACAAACTTTTTAATCATACTAATATTGTCTAAGAATGAAAGATAGGGTTGCTTTAGACTCATTTTATACTATACTAAATTCAGCTACTAACATTGTAAAACTAATTAGATGATTCTCTCAATGTAAACTGAATGAAATGCAAATTCAGTAAAATCATCAAAATAATTTTTCAATTATATTTTTTATTAACATATGAATACAAAACACTTGAAGGTATGCACAGGAATATTATATAAAAGGAATAAATTCATTAAAATTTCAGATAAAAATCGTCAACAGTCATTGCAACAAAAATGTAGTTTAGTGCAATAATTCTTACGATACATATTTGAAAAAAATTGACGAAGTGTTCATCATTGCCATCAATTTTTCCACAAAACATGAAAAAATCAAAACATATTCGTCGAGTCGTATCCGTTGGACCATTGGATCGAAAAATCGTAAAAAGTTCGAATGAATCAAATTTGTCTCGTATTAATTTTAAAAATTCAGAGGCACGTAATACACATGTAGCATCGAAATCTCATCAAGACCAGACAAAAAGACCCCGAACAACAACAGCAGTGGTACGAGTTTCTCGATCTCAAGTATCATCATTTACTATCTGCAAATTTCCTGATCAGCAACAATCACCGAACAACGTAGAACAACCATTCAATGATCAATTAATTCATGATGATATCTATGCGACAATTTCAAGTGATGTACAAATTGATCTTGATCATAATATCCAAACACCACTTTCTACTAAGACTTTAGCAGATCAAGTAAAATTAAAAATTTCTATAAATATATCATACATTTCTGAAAATAGGTTTCTAAACATAGTGCGCTATCTTCTTCACGAATTCATCCTGAAAAGGTTAGTTTTAATATAGAAATCTAACTTATTGAAATAAAAATTCTATAGATAAATGTTTCACAAATTGATTGCAATTCAATAAATGATCGGATTCGTTCAAACAATTCCTTCAAAGGCAGCATCAACTCTCATTCAATAATAAAAAACAAGCAAATAATAGATAATCAATTTGTGTCCAACACAAATAAGAAAAACAATCAACAATCTTTTCTTACTAATACTACAAAAGAAAAACATCACCATCGTCATCGTCGATGCTGTGGTATTTTCTGTCCATGTTGCACGCCTTGTTGTTGTCTACTCACAGGTCTTCTTTTATCATTGATACTTGTCGCTCTAGCACTATTAATTTTTTTTCTAATCTCATCTAAAACTACTACAACAAGTAAGAATATATCATTATGTTTTCTTAATGATAACTGTTTATCTAAAAAGCAACAACAACAACAACTACAACATCAGTAACAACTACGACAACAACAACGTCCTCAACCAGCACAACAACTTCGTCTACTAGTAGCACAACAACTTCATCTACGAGCAGCACAACAACTTCATCTTCAACCAGCACAACAACTTCGTCTTCAACCAGCACAACAACTTCGTCTTCAACCAGCACAACAACTTCGTCTTCAACTAGTACAACAACTTCGTCTTCGACTAGTACAACAACTTCGTCTTCAACCAGCACAACAACTTCGTCTACTAGCAGCACAACAGCAACAACGACAACAGCAAGTAAATAAATTTTTTTCTTCAATTCAAATTTCTTTCATTTGTATTTTTTAGCAACAACATCGGCAACAACAAGTGAATTTGAATTCATAAATTGATTGAAATCTTTTTTTTTTGTTTTATTTAACTCTAGGTACGTCAAAAACTACAAGTACAACTACTAGTAAGTTGAACTTGCAGATAAAATTTACATTATCATTTCTTTTTTTGTCTATACCGTTTACATCAGTTACTAATGTCCATTTAAAAAAGCAGGCGGATGGGTATTTTTTGAATAAGTGTTGATAGAAAACAGATAGGATACTGCAGTATTCACTATTGAAAAGAAGAGATGAACTCGCATCGAATTGTATATTATAGCTTCTCCTACGATGCTTTTCGAAGTCTTTTTTAACTAAATTTTAAAAAAAATGTCAGAAAAATAGTTCCTTCTGACATAAGACAAAAGCAATAATGTGATTTTTTTTTTCATAGTGATTGCTTGAAAAATTGGCCCAGAATTTTGAATAGAATACCTATGACTTCTAAATAAATAAATGTAAAAATCTGAAGGTTGCATAATTTTCTAGATCTTCCATTGGTAGTTCGGATGCATATCTGATAATTGAAAGTTCACAATAATCATGTTGATTTTCAAAACGGCCGATTGAAAGTTTTAAGAAAAGTCAAGTTGAAAAAGCTTCTAATATACGATTCGATGCATCTGCATCTCCTCTTTCTAAAGATGAAAACTGCAGTTCTCTATATTGTTCCTATCAAAAGTTATTAGAAATATTCTTGCACACCTTTTTTCTTCTTGAAATGGGCATTAGTACGTGAACTGTTCATTTTTGTTAATTATTAAAATGCATTTAATTTTAGCTGTTACTACAACATCGACATCAACGGCTGCTACGACTGTTAGTAAGTTACTATTCTATATGAATCATTATTTATTTTAACTTCTTTTTCCTTCTTCTTCTCAGCAATTACATCGAATACATGTACATCAGGTTGGACTGGTGTAACTGTATTTACTGTTTGTACTAGTTGTCCAAATATAAATTCTTATCAACAATATACTTATACTTATGTTGCCATTGGTACTCAAACTCGTATTTCATTTGCTTTACGTGAAGATGTTGGCTTTTTCGCACTTGATGATATATCCGTAAGAAGTAATTCAGCACCAACTGTTGAATTATTAACGAATGGCGGCTTTGAAGGAGGCAGTTATTCACCATGGATTTATTGTAATCCATCTGGTTCATCTTATGCTGGAGAGATTGAAAGAACATCAAACAATTTTTATTACAGTGGTACAACTTATGCAGCTCATTCAGGTAATTATTATTATGTGGATGGAGCTGTAGGAAAAGCAGATTATATTACTCAAAAGTTTGCATCAACTATTGGCACAACATACACGATCTCATTTTGGTTGTTTAATAAAGGAAGCAGTTCAAACAGTGATGTTAGAATTATACTTAGTGTTTAACATTAAACAGATAGAATAAACTTTTAGTGATTCCATCATAGATAATATTGTATTAGGTCGTTTTTCTAATAAAATAAAAATACGTTAATACGAACGATTAAATATGGCTTTGTGTATTAAACATTTTTTTTAAAAAGATAATTTCCATGCTTCAAACCTGATCTTTATATCAGAAATCAATTATATAATTTTTTTTTACATAATGTGATGGATTCTTCTGGATACTATTCGTAAATCAATTCTAAATAATAATATATCCTACTTCTAATAGCCAACAATAGCATTCAAATATATTTCTCGAAGATAGTGTGTTGCCGATTTTTTTCTCTCTTTCTCTATTACGAACAACAAACAAAAAAAAAAGGAATATTAAATTGAATTGTTTACAATAAGAGTCCTTATTCTACTACAATGAAAATTTATTCAATGAAGTCCTATCAATTAATGTAAAATCGAAAAAAAAATTGTTTTTTATTTTTATTTGATATAGAGAAGTATGAGCATCAGTATGATGAATTAAATCTGCATAGTAATGAAAGAAGCTGAGGAGTAGATTAAAAAAAAACCCCAGAATGTCATAGCGCATACAAAGTGCCTATCAGCAGTCAATTTTACTTTCGTAAAGAAGCAACCGTAATCACTTTATTTTTTTACAAAGCAGTGGCTCGAACTATATCATACATTACAATTGTAACTCACAAAATATGAAAACAATCAAACAATGATTGTAAATAAAATCCACATAACTTATATTTACATAATGTATTATATATGAGAGAATACATATTATATTTTTATATTTCAGAAAAAAAAGTATAATAAAGATTGTTTCATTTGATATTGATTCTAATTTGTATTTTTAAACAGAATAAGAAAAAAAAGACAGTCTAAAATTGTTATGCTGAATTCATTTAAAAAAGATTTAATTAAAATAAATCATTCTTGTATGTTATTAATTATTTTGATAAAAATAATGATTTGATTGCTTTGTGAAAGTTTCAGAAACTTTAATTCTTCTTCAATAGTTGAATCCATCGTTAAATACTTCTCATATATCTCTGTTAAATAATGAAAGTAATCAAGAGATGTAATTTTGATTTTGATACGGGCTGCAGATCTACAGCTGAAGATATGATTCAAATGATTATTTCAAAGTTGAACAAAACAAAATCACATATCTATTCGGTCAAACTATATAGAACTCTGTTGGTTTTTAGGATTTTTTTTTTGTCTTTTATAACATCAAACAAAACGACCCTCCAGATGTATTCTCTTTCGATTGCTGAAAATTGTAGGTCGCAAGCCTGTTGTCGTTGTCATATTATAAGACTACACCTACCTCTCTTTAATTGCGACACGGATATTTGTATAAACATGACAAGTAAAAAAAAAATTCATCACTGAGCTTATCATAATTTTTGAATAGATGCCTGATTCGAGTTCGGATATAAATGAGATAGAACTGCGTAGTCTATCTGTGATATCCTTAGCTGTTTGTCAAGTGTTTGTGTGTTTCTACTCTCACAATCGAGATAGTAGTGATATCATAACTGAAACTTAAGTAATAATCACCTTGCGATTTTCATACATTCGATTACATAACTATTTCACTTAGGTATACAAGAATGTATCATAAATATTACGATCACTGTGTACACAGAGATGCGCATAGGTTGCAGATCTTTGAGAGGCGCTTCGTGTCCCTATACCGCGATATCGATAGAAGAGATCAGTTATGCAGAGAAAATCGTTTCTATACAGGTGAATATTCAAGATCACAATTTTTAGTTTATTGAATAAATAAAAATAATAAGACACCAATTACTACATTGACATCATTATCTGTATTAAATTTACAACTTAGAATTTCTTTCTGCTATTTGTTCATTTCTTATTGTAAATGAATGAATGCATTGACCAATAGAAACAGTGTGTCATATACTACTATCCTACCGTAGGAAATCAATTAATTCTTTTCTTTTATTATAAAAGATTGAAGAACAAAATAACCGAATAATAATGAGACGATAATTATAGCTTGTTCCATTAAAGTCTTCTCCAAGTCAAAAGAATTTGATTATTCATAAAAGGATGAATTTTGGAATATTCATATGGTTAGACAGAGCAGAAAAACGCTACAACATGGTATGAAAAGGCTTTGAAAATAGGGATGTTACACGTTCTGTTATTTTGACTTCTACTTGCTAAGTAACGGAAAGCGTGGCATTTCTATTAAGAGACTATAATAGGACAAGCTATAATTGTACTCGATTATTTTGTTCTTCAATCTTTTATAACAAAAGAAAAGAATTAATTGATTCCTTACAGTAGGAGAGTAGTATATGACGCACTGTTTCTATTGATCAATGCATTCATTCATTTGTAATAAGAAATGAACAAGTAAAAATCAAATGAATATGATGATTGAAAATGTAATCAATTTTTATTTCTCTTCTATTCGTTGTTAATGAAACGATATCAATAGTATAAGCTCTACATCATCTATACTACACAATCATACATCAATATCATATATAGGTACTATTTCCATCAAATAAAAGAGGAATAACAATATATACAAAATTTAAGTTCTACTTTTGATTGAACGGACTATAGAGTCGTGTAGGACAGACTCGTCCCACGAGACTTTTGAGATTATCCTGAAAATATTTGGAGCTACTAGATAAATTCGAGTAATAAGTAACTATGCTATTGATGATGATTATACATATACTATTCGATTAAATCTTTATTATTATCGATATGAAACTATAGATACTGCTGATTATCGTATCATATGATGGAAGTTCCCCAACTGATTACTTGCTTTTTGAATCAAAACCATGTATATCATGCAGACCCTAATGAGTTATGAATTTCCCGAAAAGAGTTCGCATCCACGGCGTATTTTTGTCAACATATTGTATTTTTACGGTATCGTATTACAATTTTCAGCCACAGTAGAAGCGCATCTTTTACATCACTCGTATACATCTACAGATTCAATTTTTTTTATTTCAGAATAAGAATAAATCAAATGACCTGATACTTTTACGATTAAATATTCTCGTGAACGTTCGTTTCTGTATAAAGTTTCCAGTTGAAATTCGAAAACCAATTTTTCTGATGTTCCGGAGAAAGCCTATAGTATTGTATTGAACAATACCATAAAAATTCAATATGTTGACAATAATAAGCTATGAGCTTGAATTCTTTTCAGAATATTCATAGTCCATTAGGATCTACATTATGTATATGCTTCCGATTCAAAAGTAATTAATCATTTGGGAGATATTTCTCGTCAGTCAAAAATTTTCAACGAATATTATTGATACAAATATTTGTTTCTTTTCAATTAAATGAATAAGAAAATATTATAATAATAAGCAATTTTCATATTTATATAATTTACAATAGAAAAGATACATAATAATAGGTTGACAAAATTGTCATAAATTATAAAACGGAAATCTTCAATATATCATTCTTTGTTAATATGCATTTATTTTTATTGGTTCATATGCATATGCGAATGTAAAAGCAATATATTTGATAATGGAAAAAAAAATTGGAAAATCTTATTATTTATTTTCTTATCATTACTACTAACAATTTCATTAGAATTCTTTTCATATGATCGAACAACGATAGTAATGTAGTAATATCACCATTTATATAAAATCTAATAAGACTATTGAATAAGTGAATATAAGCATCCGATTAGGAAATAGCAAGACTTATTAATAATTCAATCAATTCGTTTTTTTACCGTTCAATATTATTGTCTAACATAGAAACGGTAGTATGATAAAATCATTATATTTTTGTTTTGCTGATGAAATAAATAAGATAAGAAAAAGATTGATCATCAGTATTTTTTTTTTACTAGTATTGATAAGTTATGTGTGTTCTTTTTTTTTCTCTCCTTGAATATGAGTCTTTTTCTATTATTTATTCTTATATAAAATACATACTACACTCAAATATAAGATTGCTAAGCGTCAGCTGGTCACATAACATCGAGGTATTTACTTGCCAACATATTGGACAGAGACATCACATTTTTTTTCTAAGTGCATCAATGCTATTAAACAACGACGACTCATTTCTATGTAGCAATTGTATTAAGAACCAAATTCACAATGAATAGGAAGAGCGATGACATTCTACTTTAGATAGATCGATGTTAAACGAGAAAAAGAAATGTTCGAATATGAAAGAAAGAAAAAAGCAGGAAAAAATGATAAATGACTTTTATTTTAGACATTGTGAGTGCACAGCACATTAATTCCATTTACACATTATATATATATATATATATGTATATGCAATTGTCTGTTTCTTGTGATCTCTGGTAAAATTTGTGTGACTGAGAAACATTCTTTAACTTAATTGAATATTTTTTGTGAGAATCTTTATTTACAAAATACAGTATTTTAGATGTCAACAAAGGCTAACGTACAACAACGTCAACGTACAAAAGAAAATTTTTTACGACAATTTCGCGATGAAACAAGTAAAGAATTAAAACCATTAACAGCAGCACAATTTATGGTAATTTGGAGTCATTATGATACTGATGGTAAGAATATGGTTTATTAGAACTAAAAAATTATCTATTTATTTAATTTAATTAGGTAATGGTTTTATTGAAGGTCATGAATTAGATGATTTACTTCGTGAACTTGCAACATCAGTTAATGTAAATGATGCAGGATCAGATGTAAATTGTTTTCTTTTATTTGAAAATTTTTGTTGATTAAATTTCATTTTCATTTTAGTTAATACCTGATAGTGTATTAAAAGAATTAAAAGAATGTTTTTTAGAAGCTTATGATGAAAATGAAGATGGTAAAATTGAAATTGGAGAAGTTTGTTTTTTATTATTAATAATCATCTATAATTTATTAATTTTTATTTAGTTAGCTGAAATATTACCAACAGATGAAAATTTTCTTCTTCTTTTTCGTAAAGATAATCCACTTGAATCAAGTGTAGAA